ATCATAAGAAGTAAGAACTGTTTAAAAATTATAGACCGGTTTTCATGTTTAAAAATTGCAGATGAAAGAAAGGGCGGAAAAGCTGGAGTTCTGGAGAATGACGGGACTAAAAAGGGAAGAGAAGAAGAAAGCGAGAAAGAAGCTATTGCATGAGCAAAGTTCATTGTGGATCGAGCCAAAGCACATCTTGAACACGCTCAATCCTTTCCCAATTTCAGAATTATTTCTGGAAGCCCATCCATAAATTGCGAAATGCCTTCCAAGTTTTTCTAGAAAACATGTATATACAATTAAAGTTTAAATATATTTATGTGTTCGATACTGAAAGATGATTCTAATCATCTAAATCTCAGTCCCACAAGTGCAGCAGATGTGCCATACGAGGGCACAGCAAAAGCACATGACAGAGGCCTATAGGATGAAGTTCCCTATTCATCTTTGCTCTTCTTTTTCATTTCCATGTTTTTTATATTTTTTATTGATAATTTTCTGGATGTTGGCTATTTGATTGTTATGTGATGTGATATGGACCAGACCATATATATATTTACCTTTGGAACCCTATCCTGAATAAGTATGATGTCTTCCAGGTTTTGGATCTCATCTCGATTCTTAGTTTTATTGCTAGTGTCTTTTGATGAAGAACATGCTAAATGATTTCCAAATTTTATAATATATAATTTATGTTTAAATAAATTTATGTGTACAATACAAACAGATGATTCTCCTCAGCCTAACGGCTAAACCACTACTCTTACAAAACTTTAAATTGACATGACTAAATCCGTGTTCGATTCCCCTCGGGATCGAATTTTTTATGTTTTTTTTAAATGAATAAAAATGTGTTTTCGGAAACTCATCCTGAACATGATCAGTGCTTCCTAATTTTAAAATATATAATTTCGGTTTAAATACATTTATGTGTTCGATATTAATATATAATTTTAAAAATAGTACACAGTTTCACAAGCACAACCACGAACATGAGATTAACAATGTCATAAGAAAATTCACGGGCCTACCAAAGATATAACATTCCTAAGCCAAACAAGAAGACACCAAGTAAAAAAAAAGTTCAAATTTGTTAACATCGGATTTTCTGGAAAGCTTTCCTGAAACTACATAAATCATTCCTGAAATTTTAAAACACTCACAGCTTCACAATCACAAGCAATTGTCTAAAAATTTCATAAGAAAATTCAAGAGGCTACCAAAGATATCAACTGGCGTAATCCAACAAAAAAGACACAAAGCAAAAAAAAATTCAAATTTGTTATCATCGAATATCTGGAAAGCTTTCCTGAAACTACACAAATCCTTCCTCAAATTTTTGAAATAGTACACAGTGTCACAAGCACAAGCACAAGCAAGAGACTAAAAATTTCATAAGCAAATTCACGAGCCTACCAAAGATATAAGATGCCTAAGCCAAACAAGAAGACACCAAGCAAAAAAAAGTTCAAATTTGTTAACATCAGATTTTCTGGAAAGCTTTCCTGAAACTACATAAATCCTTCCGGAAACTACAGAAATCCTTCATGAAATTTTAAAAACACTACACAGTTTCACAAGCACAAGAACAAGCACAAGCAAGAGATTAACAATGTTATAAGAAAATTCACGAGCCTACCAAAGATATCAACATGTCTAAGCCAGACAAGAAAACACCAAAAAAATCAAATTTGTTAACATCGAATTGTCTGGAAAGCTTTTCTGAAACTACATAAATCCTTCCTGAAATTTTAAAAATACTACAAAGTTTCACAAGCACAAGCACAATCAAGAGATTAACAATGTTATAAGAAAATTCACGAGCCTACCAAATATATCAACATGTGTAAGCCAAACAAGTAAAATAAATAACTTCATTTGTATAATTGAGGATGAAGAAATGAGCTAAGTAATTTTATTTTTAAAAATTAGACAACTTCCTTTGATTCTTACCAATATGAAATTTTTATTTTGGTTAAACCACGACATGTATAATCGAGACTTTCCTAAATTGCACTCAAAATCTTAATTTTGTTGTTTTTGTATGATTTTCTTCTTTCTTATACAATTCAGGATAGGATTCCTGATCATGTACTAAACCTTCCAAATAATTGAATCGTGCAGATGTTCCAGTGTTTATAATATAAAATTAACGGTTAATATATTTATGTTTTAGCTTCTACCAGACGTATTTAAACATATTGATCCCTAAACATTAAAGAAAACATTTTTCTTCAACTAAACGCTTGTTGTTATATTTCTACTAATTAGTCTCTAATTATGTGTTGCTCTCAGCCGAGTTACACATTAACCATCAATTTCATCAAATGTAGAAGACTGATGAACTAAACTGAGAAAGAAAAAGCACAAAGCGACTTGCAGAATTCTAAGTCCATGTTTAGAGTTTAATTTATTGTAAGCGACTTGCAGAATTATGATTTAAGGGGTTTAGAGTTTAGGGTTTAGAGTTGATGTTTTAGGGTTTATGGCTTAAAGTTCATGTTTTAGGGGTTTTAGGGGTTTGAGTGTAGGGTTAATTGTTTTAGGGTTTAGGGTTTAGGCTTAGAGTTTAGGGTTGAAGGTTTAGGTTTTAGGATTTAAGGTAAATCTTTTAGGGTTTAGGCTTTAAAGTTTAGGGTTTAGATTTGATGTTTATGGTTTAGAGTTTATTATATTAATCTTCAGGATAATGTATTCTAAAATTTTGAAAGCATTTAGCGTGTTCAGGATGGGTTTCCGGATTGAAGATAATTTATTATAAAATTTGGAAAGCCATGAGCGTATTCAGGATGAGTTTCCAGATAATATATTAATCTTCAGGATAGACTTCATTTTGTAGACAATGAACTCTATTTGGTGATTTCTATAACCAATAAATTTTCTTATAGATCTTTTTGATTTTTTTTTTTTTGGAAGATTAAATTCCATTTTAGGATGGCCATCCTAAACAAGGATTGTCTAACATTCCTTACACGCTTTTGATTCTCTTCGAAAACAGACTTATGCAAAAAAAAACACCTTCCTAAAGCGAATATTAAACTTTCAAGAAGCTATTATAACATTTTGAAAAAATTTCTTTTTAATTAAATATTAAACTTTTAGGAAGTCCTTCCTAATTTTTTTACTTGTTATCCTAAAATTTTATTTAGGAAGATTAAGTTCCAAATTAACATTTTTTTTTTGTTTTGAAAGATTAAGTTCTAAATTAGGATAGTCTTCTTGAACAAGGATTGTCTAACATCGTATTACTATCCTGCGTAACCAAGTAAAAAATATTTAAAAAATTTTAACACCGATTTTTCTAGAAAGCTTTCCTAAACCTATACAAATCCTTCTTGAAACTATACAAATCCTTCTTGAAAAAAAATCACACAATTTCAGAGGCACAAGCAATATCTAGAAATGTCATAAGCACAAGCATTTTCTAAATATTTTACTTGCTATCCTAACATTTTATTTTTTAATTAAATATTAAATTTTCAGGAAGTCCTTCCTAAATAATTTACTTGCAATCATAACATTTTTCTTTTTTAATAAATATTAAATTTCAGGAAGTCCTTCCTAAATATTTTACTTGCTATTCTAACATTTTTATTTATTAATTAATATTAATTTTTTTAGAAAAGTCACCCTATATAACATATGTGTTTTATAATGATATCATTTTGCTTTTGGAAGCATTTCCTGATAATTTTGTAATAAGTGACCAAGATCAAATAGTATGTCGTGTTTCTTTGAGTAGATGATTCTCTTTGTTCTTCTTGCTTGTGTACATACGAACAAGTCCTTTATACTTGTTTCTTGTCTCCTCCTCTTATTAAGATTTCTTGGTTTATAATATTTTTTCTATTTTTTGGTTTTGTAAAGTCATCCAGAATATGTACAATGCTTTCTTGTTACATTTAGAAATTTGAAAATTTTCAATAATCAACATAAATTTACAGCTGTTTAGCCTTGGCTCTAAATTTTAGAATTTATGAAGCTTTCTTGAATTCTTAGGAAAGAGTCACACGAATTTAGGTAGACCATCCTAAATTGTATGTTAATTACTAGTTGATCAAAAGAAATTAGGAAGCTTTTCTAAATTCTTAGGAAAGGCTTTCCTAAAAAATTTCAAAAAAAAATTATATTGTTTTAAAAAGACATTATTAAAGATTGAGAAAGGCATTATAAACTTTTAGAAAAATCTTACTAAAATGTGTATGACTATTTTTAGATAACTAAAAATGATATATTTTTTAACTTTATGAAGCTTTCTTGAATTTTTAGAAAGATTCATACAAATTTAGGAAGTTTTTCTAAACTTGTAGGTTAGGCGTTCCTGAAATTTTAAAAAGTTTTTCTGTTGTTTTAAAAAGACATTCTTAAAGATTGAGAAAGACACTATAAACTTTTAGAAAAATCTTACTAAAATGTGTATGAATATTTTAAGATATCTAGAAATGTTAAGTTATATAATTTATGAAGCTTTCTTAAACGTTTAGGAAAGATTCACACGAATTTAGGAAGACCATCCTAAGTTGTATGTAAATTATTAGTTGCTCAAAAAACAATTTAGGAAACTTATTCAAATTCTCAGGAAAGGCTTCCCTGAATTTTTTTAAAAATTCTATTGTTTAAAAAGACATTCTTAAAGATTGAGAAAGACAATATAAGCTTTTTGAAACATCTTACTAAAATTTGTATGAGTATTCTTATGAAGCTTAGGATGACCATCCTAAATTGAATGTTAATTACTAGTTGATCAAGAAAAAATTTCAAGAAGTTTTTCTAAACTTTTAAGGCATTCCTGAAATTTTTAAATAGTTTATATGGTTTTAAAAAGACATTCTTAAAAATTAAGAAAGACATTATAAAATTTTAGAAAGATCTTACTAACATGTGTATGAGTATTTTAAGATATCTATAAAAATTAAGTTTTAGAATTTGTGAAGCTTTCTTGAATTCTTAGGAAAGATTCACACTAATTTAGGAAGATCATCCTAAATTGTATGTTAATTACTATTTAATCAAAAAAAAATTGGAAGCTTTTCTAAATTCTTAGGGGCAACAACAACTAGTCCAGATGCTGCATACGGTTGTGTAAAGTCTACAATCTTTGTCCGGTTTGTTACGATGGCAACGTCACCCACTACACCATCAAAATTCTGCAGTGATTCCATTTTCAATAGTAAGCAGAAATGATAACAAAGAATTATCAGAAAAAGAACGTAATATGCACTCACACCACTTGTTATCATCTCAACCATATGCGTGTAGCTAGGATTAAACTTGACATGGACTGCATACGGTAAGAGATTCACTGCAGCTGTGAATACATCAATGCAGAACCCTTTGAACATATTCTCAGTTCCACGAATCTGCGAGACAAACTCCTTGTAACTTACGCGACAAGGCATGCCGACTGAGACTTCTAAGTTGAGACTTCCACTTTTCCCCAAAGCATCAAGCATTGAGTCATTAGAAAACGATATCTTCCCACCGTCTTTGAAGTACTTATCTAAACCACGATCTAACAGCATAACCGAGTCATAAGCATAGAGACCATACGTGTGTAGAGCCAAAGGAGCACCAGTAATCTTATGCCATTTCGAGAAAAACTCTCGTTTTAAATCCGAATCAGGCGTGTGCGGACGCAGAACAAGAACACCTTGAATGGTTTCAAGTCTCAACATGTAGGGTGATAAAAAAAAAAACAACCCTTATTAAACCAAAACCAAAAACTGTGTGTTCTTTACCTCATACATGTCAATGGATATGGTGCTCCTCATGATATTCATGGTGATCCTAAACTCCACCTTGAAGCAATCACTCAGTGTTTGTTTCCTACCTTCACGTATCTGTACACAGTGGAAACCAGCAAGGCTCATATATAAGATATATTTTCAAGAGAGAGTTTACACCCAAGGTGAATATGATAAAAGAGTAAACAATTACCGATCGTAGGTTTATTTTCAACGCTGTGGGAGATGATAGTTTAATGATGCAGCGCATCTTCATCGGTTCACACTAACCGGTTTCGTACCAAAACCAGATCTTTTGTTATTCTTTTATGCGTTAGGATTCTAGTTTATCTTTTACCGTATCTTTGTTCTTGTTGAGAAGATAACTCTCAAGCAATTAGGTTCTGGAAGTAGTTGTAGCTCTTTATATAGATTTCCATTGTTAATAAGAAGATGACGTTTTAAGCTTAACTACAAAGAACTAGCAAGTTCATCTCTTCCCTTTGATTTTAGGCCATTCTTATCGATTCAACGAAACTCAAAGCTCAGTTGAAGTTCGGGTATTCCTCAGACTAAACGAACCTCTTCTTATCACCTTGTGCTGCGCCAGTTTTGGTATCAGAGCAAGTTTGTTTCCGACCTAAATTTTTTTTTTTTTCATCATTTTTCAGTTTAATGGCTCCACGACGCGCAAACACAACTGATCGCCCGTTTAAAGAATGGGAGGAGTTACGGCAAACACTTGCCGTTATGCAGGAAAACATTCGGCAGACTATTCACGACTCGTTAAGAGATCTAGCTGAATCTGTGTACGCGCGACATGATCAAGATCGCATTGCTCAGAGAAGGTATGATCACGAGCGGGATCGAGCACAACCTGTGTCCGACGATGGGTCAACCGACGTGGAAGATAATCCTTTCGCCGAAGAAGATCAACGTCAACAGAACAGGGGGTTCAATCACCAATGAGATCGAGAAGATAGGAGATGGGAGATGGGTTTCAAGGTGGAACTGCCTGAATTCCACGGAGGAGTTCGGGGAGAGGAGCTTCTGGATTGGCTGGTTGCGGTCCATGAGATGTTGGAACTTAAGAGAGTTCCTGAGGAGCAGAAGGTAGCTCTCGTAGCAACTAAGTTTCGAGGTAAAGCGGCTTCGTGGTGGCTACAATTGAAGGCGACTCGAGCTAGAGCCGGCAAAAGCAACATCAATACGTGGGCAAAGCTTGAGAAAGTGCTTCGTCACTCATTCCAACCATACAATTTCGATCGCACGATGTTCACACGGCTTCAAAATCTGCGTCAGGGAACTCGTTCAGTGGACGATTATGCAGAGGAATTCACTCTCCTACTTACTCGCAACGAAATCTTGGATAGTGAGGTGCAATTGGTGTCAAGATTCATTGGTGGTTTGCGACCACAAATTCAGAACGCGATGTCTCAATTCGATCCTCTTACCGTGGCTGAGGCACATCGCAGGGCTGTTGCGTTTGAACTCCAGTTTAAGACTTCGACGCAAAATTGGAGTTCTAATGGCCGCTCCCGCACTTCACCAGTACCTACTGACGCGGGTAAATCCATACCAACGTTGAAAGAGACTAATGACATGGCTGCTCAACGAAACACCACTACAGCAAAACAAACAAACCAACAAGAGGAGTTGCGTCGTTCTACAAGGCCTAATGCCCAGAGATGTTATACTTGTGATGAGCCAGGGCACAGAAAAACTGCGTGTCCAAACGCCACTAAACGAGGTCTGCTAACGGATGATGTCAAGTGGGACAATGACGGCACAGCAAACAACGAAGCTGTCCTTGAAGATGTTGCTGAGGACCGTAACGAAGGTGACTTGGGCACTCTACTTATGCTAAGACGAGTTTGCATTGCACCCATGCGCCAAGACGACCAACCATGGCTTCGGACGAACATTTTATCTTCGACCGGCACTATCAAGGGCAAAGTTTGCCGTTTTGTGATAGACTCTGGTAGCAGTTGCAACGTCATTTCAGAGGATGCAGTCAATAAGTTGGGTTTAAGGCGTTCTGAGCATCCATCCCCATACAAGCTAGTGTGGTTGAAAGAGGGTACATCGATTCGTGTGGCACATCGCATCCTGGTATCTCTGTCCATTGGAGCTCATTATAAAGATAAAATATATTGTGATGTGGTGCCAATGGACGTCTGTCATATCCTTCTTGGAAGACCTTGGCAATTTGATTGTGATGTCTCTCACAGTGGGCGAAGTAACATCTATAGTTTCTTCTTTGAGAACAGACGGATAGTTTTACTCCCTAATGAAGACATTCCACCGTCTCCTACTCCTCCGGAGGTTCCGTCACATCTCAGAGAGGGTACCGGTTCTAGCAACACAGTTTTGTTCTGTTCTTATGCCACCTTCACCGAAGCACTTTAGGAGGAACAGTGGGCTCTCGCTGTCATCGAAGTACCAGCTGCAACTTCACAGGTGGAAGACATTCATCCAGACATCGCCACCCTCTTGCGTGACTTTGTTGATGTGTTTCCCAAGGATCTTCCTGAAGGGTTGCCTCCACTCAGAGACATACAACATCACATTGACCTGGTTCCAGGGGCGTCTTTACCTAACAGACCACATTACCGCATGAGTCCCCAGGAGCACGAGGAACTTCGTACGCAAGTAGAGGCGTTACTCGCTAAGGGTCACATTCGGATCTTAAGAGTGGGTATCATCAAATTCGGATCAGGCCTGGTGATGAATGGAAGACGGCATTCAAAACGCGGGAGGGACTGTTCGAGTGGCTCTTCATGCCTTTTGGGTTGTCAAATGCACCTAGCACCTTTATGAGGATTATGAATCAAGCCCTGAGACCGTTTGTTGGGAAGTTTGTTGTGGTGTACTTTGATGATATTCTAGTTTTCAGCAGATCTCTCACAGAGCATATCAATCATTTGCGACAAGTTCTCATCATCTTACACCGAGAGCAGTTGTTCATCGCACGGCAAAAATGTGAATGGGGCGTAAGCTCGGGATTGTTTCTTGGGTACGTGATATCAAGTGAAGGTCTCTCCATGGATTTGTCCAAAGTAGAAGCTATTCGTGCTTGGCCGGTTCCGAAATCCATCTCAGAGGTCCGAAGCTTTCATGGTCTTGCAGCTTTCTATAGGCGATTTGTAGCGCATTTTAGCACTATCATGGCACCTCTCACCGAATGTATGAAAGGCGCAAAGTTCGAGTGGACACAACAGGCAGGAGATGCTTTTGAGCTGATTAAAATTAAGCTCACCACTGCACCAGTCTTAATCCTGCCAAATTTTTCTCAGAAATTTGAGCTCCATTGTGACGCTTCCAAGCTTGGAATTGGAGCGGTGTTAAGCCAAGATTCTCGCCATGTTGCCTTTTTCAGCGAGAAGCTCACTGACCCGCGCAGCAGGTACAGCACTTACGACGTTGAATTCTATGCAGTGGTTCAGTCGATCAGGCATTGGCGGCATTACCTGGTGCACCGCGACTTTGTGCTCTTCACAGATCACGACGCACTCAAACATCTTGACAGTCAGGTCAAGGTCTCCGCTCGACATGCATGATGGATCGCATACCTGCAACAATTCACGTTCTCTATTCAGCGAGAAGCTCACTGGCCCGCGCAGCAGGTACAGCACTTACGACGTTGAATTCTATGCAGTGGTTCAGTCGATCAGGCATTGGCGGCATTACCTGGTGCACCGCGACTTTGTGCTCTTCACAGATCACGACGCACTCAAACATCTTGATAGTCAGGTCAAGGTCTCCGCTCGACATGCATGATGGATCGCATACCTGCAACAATTCACGTTCTCTATCAGGCACAAATCGGGAAAGCTAAACCGCGTTGCAGACGCATTGAGTCATCGCCACAGCCTCCTGACAACTCTTCATGCCTCGGTGACAGGCTTCGCATCATTTTCTGAACTCTACGAGTCGGATCCATTCTTTGGTAAAATCTTAGTGGAGGTGCGAGATAAGGTTCGGGATGATTTCACTCTTGTCGATGGTTTCTTGTTCCGTGGCCATCAGCTTTGCATTCCGGATTGCAGTTTCAGGTTACGTGTTATTGAAGAACTTCATAAAGAAGGGCATGTAGGACGTGATAGGACTCTGCAGTTGGTAACATCTTCGTACTACTGCCCGTCATTACGTCGCGACGTCGAGAGATTTGTGGAGCGTTGCAGAGCGTGCCAACTGGCGAAAGGGCAAGCTTCAAATGCTGGTTTGTATATGCCTTTGCCGATTCCCACACAACCCTGGACAGACTTGAGCATGGACTTTGTTTTGGGATTGCCTCACACACAGAAGGGTAATGATTCTATCTTTGTGGTAGTCGACAGGTTCTCCCAAATGGTTCACTTTATACCTTGTAAGCGTACAACGGATGCAGTTCGCGTAGCTCAGCTTTTCTTTCGCGAGGTCTTTCGTCTCCATGGCCTCCCTACTTCGATTGTATCGGATAGAGACACTCGTTTCCTCAGCCATTTCTGGAGATCATTGTGGAAGATGTTAAACACCAATTTGGACATGAGCACAGCTTATCACCCTCAGAGGGATGGTCAAACAGAGGTGGTTAATCGTTCTTTGGGAAATATGTTGCGAGCTTTGGTTGGGTCTAACTTGCGTGCGTGGGAAAGTTGTTTAAGCTTTGCTGAATTTGCTCATAACCACGCCGTCAATTGCAGCTCTGGTTACAGCCCACTTTCCGTGTCGTGTATGGGGTACTACCTCGTTGCCCATTGGACCTCATCCCTGTTCCCGATCCAACGCGCATGCATGGTAGCGCTGCAGACTTCGTCTCCTCCCTGCAACACGTCCACGAGCAAGTTTTGCAGAACTTGGAAGCATCTACACAAAAGTATAAGGCGCACGCTGACCGTCGTTGCAGAGAATTGATATTCTCACCGGGGATTTGGTTTGGGTGGTCTTGACAAAGGATCACCTCCCTGCTC